AATGGTCCCAAAGCTTCAGAGAGAAGTAGGCCATTGTCCCCAGCAGCAGGGAGCAGGCCCAGCCCTGCTGTGGGATGAGACAGCAGTCTGGCAGCAAGTGTCTGACTTCTCCCCACACAATAAAATGAGGTATGCAGATATTTATTCAATCTCGATGCTGAGCAAATAACCCTGCAGAATGTGACATCGGGACTAGAAGAAGACCAGAAATACACAGATGAGACACTTTGCTGAAAGTGACACAGATTTGTAGCACTTACTGATAAAGATCAAAGACTACATCCTATGCCATAGATTATAACAACATAAGACAAAAAATATTCTCAAACTGGACTAATAAGCAACATAATGGTGAACAGGGAAAAGATAGATGTTGTCAATAATTGCCTTTTACTTGGACCAACCATCAATCAAGGCTCTTACATGCAGTAGTGACGAATTCAAGCTATAGGTGATGAGAGGGGAATCAAGTGTTGGAGGGTAGACAAGTATTAACTTGTATGAAGAGGAAAGCAATATACAGTAAGAGGAAGGTTCACAAAAATGACAGGCAGGGGAGACTGGGAGGCTTACAAAGGTTAAAGGCAACAGAGGCGAATGTGACTAAATGCACAATCCTGCAATGGGAGTGATCTATGAATAAATCATTGGATAGACTTCCAGGCTGAATTGGTGGGAGTGGCGGTGGTTGGGAAGTGGGAGCATACCCATGAGTATAAATAGATTTGACAGAGGTTATTTATGTATGTATATTTACCTTAACTGCAAATATATCCATGAATGTAGTGGAGCATCTCGGGGGCAAAGCTAAGAGAACTTCTTAGACATAACCAAACACTTTGGCGGAATGAGTCATGGGACTGCGGGATCCGGCCCATAGTCTGGTTAGACACTAAGCTCAATGGTGGCAGCCTCACAAAGACAGTGTTCTACATACTACTTTGCTGAGTGGCAACTGGTCTTAACAGCTCTTGAGCAGCTACCTAATGATGACACATGGAAACATTTAGTCCAGAAGCGTAATAGATGAGTAAACATCAGTCTCCACAATCCTGAGCACCGTGAGAACTAGATCGTGTCTGGCTTACCCGTGCCAAGTACTCTGCAAAGGACCACTTTTAGAAGGTCCTGGATACAGTGGATGGCAAATAATGGAGCACACTCAAAATGATACCAAGAGACCAGGCCTTCTGGTCAGATAAAGACTGCTTAAGACCTAAGACTATGGCCCTTCGTCACCCTCAGGTCTGGAACCGAACTCATCTCCATATTATATTAATCGACTATTTAAGATCAAATGGGCAGCATTTACCCAAAGGCAAAGTTTCAGAGGTGTAGAAAAGAATGAGGAACGGAACAGGAAGAAGGGAGGAGATGGTGCCTTCATGGTGAGGTTACAGTTGATGAGTTGAAGCAACACATGTATGAATTGTTTAATGTAAAACCAATGATCGGCTATGTAAACCTCAATTCACAATAAAATTCTTTTAGAAATAAATTATATGGCTTATTGCATTGGGACAATCTAGTACAAAAGACCTCTTTAAAGTATTAAAAAGCAGAGCTAGCTTTGAGGACGAATGCACTCCTGACCCAAG